CCGGATCATCTTGTGGAATTATTTATACCCATCCCCCCAGGAGTTAAGCTTCTGCTGCTGGTGTTTTGGCCTGTCAGGTTGACATAATTATGTGACCTAAATGATTTCCTGCTGAATCTAACTACCATGTCCTAGTTCCCTCTGGAAAGTGCTTACGAGGGCCATGGGGGATCATACGTGAAAAGTCCCTTATTCCAAGCTGGGGCTGGAGCCATCAGTGGTTCCACTGGCTGTCCTCACAGAGAGTTTGGTTCCCAGCACCCATATCTAGTGGCTCAGAACCACCTTCACCTGCAGCTCCAAACCGTCCGGCGTCCTTGAACACCCAGTAAGGTGCAGGTACTCACAAGGACACACACGTACACGTAAAACAAAAGTAAATGTATTTTTAGAAAGTATGCAAGCTGAGGTGGTGATGGGGCTCAGATGATTCGCTGCTCTGAGACCTTAAAGAGCCCTTCTGGACTGGGGAGCCGGCTCAGCGGGTAAGGGGGGTGGCACTGAAGTGTGAGCACCAGCGCTCACATAGGCTGGACGGACGTGCCAGCTTCCTGCTTGGCAGGTTCTCGGTTCAAATGTCTTGGTACATAGTAAGATGGAGGGTAAGGTGGAAAGAAGTCAACCTCCTGCCTCCATGCAGGGCCACATCGGCACACACATGTAGCCATCAACACGCAGTACCCCTACACACACACACACGCGCGCGCGCGCACACACACACACACACACACACACACACACACACACACACGGGTCCTTCTTAGTCATAGTGTGCTATGTGGATCACAGTTTTCCAGCAGAAACCATGCACCGAAGTGTGTGTAGGGCTGATGAGCCTCCTGTGTAGGCCCCATGGCTGATAGTAACCGAGGCAGCCACTCATGGAGCTCAGTTCGTGGGTGCTCTCCCAGCCTGAATGTGGGCTCTGTGCCACCAACTATGCCAAGGTTGCTAGAAAAATCTGGAAATGTGGATTTTTTTCCCCCACAGGACTCTTCAAACGATTCAGTATTGGCAGCTCGTTATGGAGTTTTCTGGCTCTTGTCCACTCTGGAGCCCGCCTACACTCTTTGCACCGATATCCACCAGAGAGTGCCCTTCAGAGCCTCTGGTGGAGTCTCAAAGACCAAAGACCGCCAGTAAATACCACAGGACATGTATCATGAGAGTTTGCGTGTGTGTGAGAGAGTGTGTGCACACGTGTGTTTTGTACAGGTGGATGGGGCCAGAGGCGGACGTAGGTTGTCTTTCTCATGCTCCATCTTGTGTTTTGCCACAGGATCTCTCACTGAACCTAAATCTCACGAATTCAGCTTAGAAGGACTGTTTCATTCACAATAGACAGAAGGGAGAAAGGCAGGGGAAGGAGAGGGGAGCAGAGGTGTAGGGGTGAAGAGAAGACAGAAGAGCCGAGAGGAGAGGAGAGGAGGGGAGGGGAGGGGAGGGGAGGGGAGGATGGGAGGAGAGGATAGGGGAGGATGGGAGGAGAGGAGAGGAAAAGACAGAAGAGAGGAGAGGAGGGGCCTGAAGACTTATTTCCTCCATATGATACTATCTTAATTCCCTAACTTGTCCAGATCCTATTCTTCTGGAAAGTGTGTGTGTGTGTGTGTGTGTGTGTGTGTGTGTGTGTGTGAGTGCGTGCACGCACATTAAAAGTAACTCTGAGCCTCTCCCTCAGCCTGGGGCTCACCAACCCCCCCCCCCAGCGCCAAGGTTACCCGTGTTTGCTGCCAGGCTCAGAGTTACTTTTAATGTGTCTACTTGTGTGTGTCTCTGCAAGTGTATACCATGTGTTTGTGGTACCCCGGAGACCAGAGAGGGTGTTGGATTCCCTGAAGCTGGAGCTACAGGCAGTTGTGAACCACCATGTAGGTGCTGAGAACAAACCTGGGTCCTCTGCAAGACAAGGAAGTGTCTTTCATTGCTGAACCTCCCAAGCCCCATGCCCAGCTATTTTACTCGGGCCCTGGGGACCAAACGCAGAGCCTCAGTTTGTATAGCAAGTACTCTACAACTCGGCTTTCTCCTCAGCAACTCCTGGAAGATTTTTTTTTTTAATGCTTGAACTTTATTTGTGTATTTTGGGGGACACACACATCACAACACACCTGTGAGGTCAGGAGACAATGCAGTCCTTGGAACTCAAGGCAGTTCTCTTCTACCATGTGGGTTCTAGGGCTTGAACTCAGGTCCTCAGGCTTGGTGATGAGCCTCTTTACCTGCTTCGCCATCTCACCTGCCCATGGCAGTCCTTTGCCCAAGCAGTCGAGGCGTCAGTAGCTTCTGTGAAAGCCTTCACAGCAGGCTCACCCACAGGAGCATCGTATTCTGCTCCCATCTCCTCAGCCCCTACCGCTGTCTCCATCCTGACACTGCTAAAGCAGACAGCATCCTCAGGAGATGCCAGCTCCTTGCCCCTCACCCATCCAGACATGCCTAGCAGTTGACCTCGCTGTCCCTGGCTGGTTTCCTGGTCCTTCTGTATTGGGGGAGGGGCCCGTCCTCACAGCTCAGACAACAAGAGCCCTGGATCCTGGAACTAGGTGGGATTTGAAAGTCCTGGATGCTTAGCTCTTCACACACACCCAGTGAGTGTGATCTCGGCTGCAGGGTCTAAAATAGATGTGCTTGGCAGGGGCCCGCCTAAGGTGGCGAAATGGGAGCGCACATGCCCAGCTGAGGTGTATGTGGAAAAGGAAGCTAGAACGGCGCACCTCCCCGGCGCATATCCAGCAGGAAGGACTTGTCTTGTTATTATTTACTTTTTTATTTCTGTTTTATTTTTGAGGCAGGTTTCTCTGTGTAGCCCTGGCTGTCCTGGACTCTGTACACCGGGCTGGCCTTGAACTCACAGAGATCTGCCTGCCGTTGCCTCCCCAGATGCTGGATTTGGGGGCTCTCAGCACACAAAGTAGAGAGTATAAGGTCTGGCAATGAGGGAAGGAAGAGGAGAGTGCATGCATGCTCTCTCTCTCTCTCTCTCTCTCTCTCTCTCTCTCTCACACACACACACACCACACACACAGCCTGAGGACAGAATGTCTCCTCTTAGCCACCATCCCTTTGTGCACATACGTGCATGCACACACAAAAATAAAATTTCTTCATTTATTTTTCTATTTAATTTATTTGTCTGTTTGTTTGTGTTTGTAGCCTTGGCTGTCCTGGAACTCTCTCTGTAAACCAGGCTGACCTCAAAGTCAGAGATCTATCTACCTCTGCCTCCTGAGTGCTGGGATTAAAGGTGTGTACCACCATGCCCAGCTAAAAAATCAAAAACAAAGTGGATGACATTTGCAGGGTGACAGCCCAGGCAGGCCTGAAACTGATATAGAGTTAAAGATGACCTTGACCTTCTGATCATCCTGACTCTGTCGCTCAAGTGCTAGGATTGCAGGTGTGAGCCACCATTCCCAGGTTAAGGGTGCCGGGGCTCAAATCCAGGGCTTCATGAATGCTACCCAAGTACTCTGCCATCTGAGCTCCATCCCTGACCCCTCAAGAGAACACATTTGATCTTTGTCAACCAAACAAGACAGGTGTCCAGATATGAGAGAGCCCTTGTGAGATCACAATGACTCAAGCAGCAAACTTAAAACACTGTGAGCTGAGAGCCAAAGGCAGAGGAAAATGTTAGGCTGGGTCTCAGGAGGCAGGATGAGCCAACACGACAAATGGCCAGCACTAGGGGACGCCCAGGGCCACTTCCAAGTGTTAATGTGTCCCTGCTGTGTGCAGACAGTACTTGGGGAGGCTTGTCTGGCCAGCTTTGTAAGAAATGAATCCTGGAATATGTAGCTTATGTGTCTCAGGGGGTAAATGTACAAGAATGATGGATTGCCAGGGTTAGTCAGAGGAAGTGTGCTGTGGGGAGGGGGGGGTTGAGCACGTCACAACTTCCATCCTTGAGCCGGCTGTCCCTCAGGTTGTCAGCCCTCCGAATGTGGACTGATCCATACCGCAGCCCTCCCTGGTTATCCAGCTGTCAGACAGCACACGTGACCTCTCTCAGCTTCTACAACCTTGAGTCAAATTTCCTAAGAAACCTGGGGCTAGGGAGATGGCTGCTCACTGTGCAAACAGGAGGACCTGAGTTCAGATCCTGTCCCCAGCACCCACATAAGAAGTGGGTGTGGCAGCATATGCCTGTAACACCGCGCCCCATCCCACCCACACTGAGGAGGCAGAACCAGGGAGAACCCTGGAGGGCTAAAGGCTCAGCAGTAGATGCCTGGCCTCCACTCCAACAACTTTATCCCTTGAGACAGATGACAGGTATGAGCCATGAGAGCAGGCTTCCCCCACGGGTGCTGGGGGTCCGCACTCAGGTCCCCATGCATGCTTTCCTCACTGAGCTATATCTCCAGCACATAATTTAAATATATTCTCTTCTATTTATTTGTGCTGTGTGTATGCGTGTGTGTGCGTGTGCGTGCACGAGTGGTTGCACGGGTTCTCTCTCCCCGCCCAGGCATGGGCCCGAGGGATCAATCTCATGTTGTCTGTCTGTCAGGAGCCTTTACCCTCTGGACCATCTCCCTAGGGCCCCACCTGCGAGTAGTTTTTAAAAACTGCTTCCTTAGGAAGCACTACAACCTTCCGGCTTTTCCCACAGTCCCTAGCCATGCATGCCACCTCATTCTTCTGCCAAGTTGCTGCTTTGGGGTACGCTGGGAGGTGGGGGTTTAGGAAGACGGGTACAGATTCTTCACTAAAGTAACAATCCAATAGCACCCCGACAATGTGCCCATGGATTCCGAAATCCCCCTCCACCACAAGATCTGGGCGTTCCCCAGAGATGCCGGCAGGAAAGCTCATTTGGGGTTTTCTTCTTCATTCTGGCACTAAGTCAGTTTTTGGCTGTAGACAGAATCTATTTTGAGTTGCCCGTGTGTGTGTCTGTGTGTGTGTGTATGTGTGTGTGTGTGTGTATGTGTGTGTGTGTGTGTGTGTGTTTTCTGTGGGCTTTACATCTGAAATGCTTCTCTCCCTCCCAGACTCCCAGAGACGGAGACAGCCCAGCAGGGAGAGCTTTTCTCAGGCGCAGATGGCCACTGTGGGGGAGAGGAGACTGCCCTGGACCTCTTCCACCTGTGCCTGCGAAAGGAAGTCAACTTCCTGGTCAGCCTTCAACATCGGAATACACTGACCGCCGGGATGTCACGGCGCCCACCTCTCATCCCAGCACCCCAGAGGCTGAGGTAGGAGGATAGGAAATTTGAAGCTAGCCTGGGTTACTTAGTGAGTTCCAAGACAGCCTGGGCTACGTAGCAAAAGATTCCTTAAAAAAAAAAAAAAAAAATCAAGGTCATTCTTACCCGCAGAGCAAGTGGAAGGCTAGCGTAATGGCTACATGAGACCCTTTCTCAAACAAATAAATATGGCTGATTCGTCCTGATCGTAACTGTGTGCAGAGCCACTCATGACCAAATGATGCTGTCTAATTCGTATTTTAATTCCATTTGTGATAGTCTGGATACACAGGATTCCCGAGTCCACTTAGTTGCAGTTTTCCTTTCTGTGCATTTCAGCTACGTGTGGTCAAGCACAGTCCAAAGCTATAAAATGAAAATTTCCAGGGTCAGAGAGATAGCCTCCTGGGTAAAGACGCCTGCTGCCAAAGCCTGATGGCCTGGATTCATTCCCCGGCATCCCTCTGATGAAAGGGGGGAAATGTCTCCCCGAGTTACCCTCTGACCTCCACATGTACACGGTCGCACGTGCAATCCTACAGGCATACACATGGCTCAGTGGTGAGGGGCACTGGCTGTTCTTCCAGAGGACCCGGGTTCAATTCCCAGCACCCACATAGCTCAAAACTGGAACTCCACTTCCAGAGGATCTGGCACCCTCAGACAGACATGTGCAGGCAAAACATCCATGCACAAAAAATTAGTAAATCCTTAAAAATATAAAAAAATAATACATTTTTAAAGTTGTATTGGTGGTTTACAGAGTTTTTTTTAAAAAAGAACTGCTTTATTTTTTTTAATTTATTTATTTTATTTTATGTACTGTTGGTGTTTTGCCTGCGTGTGTGTCTATGTAAGGGTGTTGGATCCTCCAAAACTACAGTTACAGACAGTTGTGAGCTGCCATGTGGGTGCTGAGAATTGAACCTAGGTCCTCCGGAAGAGCAGCCAGTGTCCCTGAACACTGAGCCATCTCTCCAGTCCCCTGTTTCCTATTTTTAGTTAAAACTTTTAATGTTTTTGAGAATTCCATTGATGAGAAATGTATTTTTGGCTTTTCTTTTTTTGTTTGTGCGTCTGTTTGGTTTTTTGTTGTTGTTTTGTTTCAGTTTTTGGTTTTTCGAGATAGGGTTTTTCTGTGTAGCCTTGGCTACGGGGTTTTTCTGTGTAGCCTTGTCTAACCTGGACTCACTTTGTAGACCAGACTGGCCTCACAGAGATCCACCTTCTTCTGCCTCCCTAAGTGTTGGGATTAAAGGTATGCAACTGCCACCCAGACTATGTATCTGGCTTTTCTTTTCCTCACTCTTCTACCTCCTTAGGCTGGAGTGCAACTCTGTGGTAGAACACCTGTCTAGAGTTCCCCAGTGAGGGGCTGGGGTGTGGCTCAGTGGTTGAGCCCCTGCCTAGAATCCCCCAGTGAGGGGCTGAAGTGTGGCTCAGTGGTAGAGCACATGCCTCGAATCCCCCAGTGAGGGGCTGAGGGCTAGCTCAGTGGTTGAGCACCTGCCTAGAATCTTCAATGAAGGCTGTGGATATAGCTGAGTCATAGAATATTTGCTAAGCATGTGTGAAGCCCTCAGTTCCATCCCTAGTACTGAAAAGGAAATAAAAAGGAAGAAGGGGAAAAGAAAGGAAGGTAGAAGAAACAGAGTAGGGAGGAAAAGAAAAAAGGAAGGAAGAGAGAAAGAAGAGATACAGCCTGGTGAAATGGCTCAGCAGGTATGAGTGTTTTCGACACAAGCCTGATGACTTGAGTTCAATCGTAGAACCCACATGAAGGTAGGAGAGAACCAACTACATGAAAGTGTTCTCTAACCTCCACATGCATGTTGGCGCATGTAGCTCCCCTGACTCCATCATTCACACACACAGCAATAATCTTACATATTTTAAAGGAAAGGAAAGGGAAGGGAAGGGAAGGGAAGGGAAGGGAAGGGAAGGGAAGGGAAGGGAAGGGAAGGGAAGGGAAGGGGAAAGGGAAAGGGAAAGGGAAAGGGAAAGGAAAGGAAAGTAAAGGGGAAAGGGAAAGGGAAAAGGAAAAGGAAAAGGAAAAAGGAAAGGAAAAGGAAAAAGGAAAGGAAAGGAAAGGAAAGGAAAGGAAAGGAAAGGAAAAGGAGGGAAGGAAGGAAGGAAGGAAGGAAGGAAGGAAGGAAGGAAGGAAGGA